ATAACAGCCCTTAGAGGGGAAAGGCCTGAACTTTTGGGTGGCCTCTCCTGACAGATGTTGTCGAGACCTACAGCTGGTTCAGAGAGGTGGGCAGAGGATGAAGGATAGTTCTATTATTTGGATGGACTGAAGGGTCACCCCCAGTTCTGATGGGTTCTGCATTGAGCCCTCCTGCAGGGGCCGAGGGACAACCACAGGAAACAGCTTAGCAAGAACAGATACGCCTCCTCCTCCACCCCGAACTCCTTCCCATGTCTCTGTGGCCACAGGCTCTGGAAAGCCTCACTGTCCCTACCTAAACCTGGCACACAAACTGAGCAATGTGGGGAAAACATTCTGTGCATCACATCATCCTAAAAGGTCAGAGTGAAATTCTGCTAATTTAGCTGTGGTAGTGAGGATTTGTCCACCTGGAGGTGGAGAGCACCCTGGTTTTCAGAGCCTGGAGACCGGCAAGAATCAGCAACCACTAGGGTTTTGGTTTTCACCCAAATGCTTAGCAAATGTCTTCAGGCAGGTTTGGAAGGGTTGTGGTCTTCTATCAATGAGCTAAGTACATCTTTGTAAGGAAAGCCAAGTTCAAGGAGTCAGTGCGCTGACAGGTTGAGAGCCAGGATGCTGCAGTCTCACTCTAGCACACAGCACCAGTGTGGACGCCCAGATGGGCACCTGGCAATCGTCATTATTAACACCTTGAATTTTGCTTACTGCCTCCAGGAAAATGGAGGACAGCCCTTTGGGTTTTATTCCCCTGAATGAAACAAAATCTTCCATCCGGAGCCTTGGAAAGACATGGATACTACCCAGTAATTATTAACCTATTTACTTGTCTACTACCCCACGGTGGCTGGGGGGCTGGTGAGGGCAGAGGCCATAGGTCATTCCTCTCTATTGCCTATACCCAGCACAGTGTCTGCTGTGGAGTGATGGAGCAGAATCATAGGAACAAATACATTGCCCATCGCTTTAAGATTTTTTTCTACAGTATTGAGGGTTGAAACCCAGAACCTGGCACAAGCTAGGCAAGCCCTCTACCATTTGACCCATGCCCCCAGCCTTTGCTGATAGGTTTTAAACAAAGAGAGTGTGTGTGTGTGTGTGTGTGTGTGTGTGTGTGTGTGCACAAATGCATGCACCCAAGCAATTCTAAAGGTTGCTATCTGCAAATCATCCACACTAATTTTTAATATGTGAATTCCTGGGCCTTACTGAAAGACCAGTAAGTCCATGAGGAGTTCTGGGGTTGGGACCAGCACATATGAATTTTAAGGAACCTTTCTGGAAGGTTCTCAAGCATCCAGACATTTAGGAACCATGGCCTTAAATAGACTCTGCTGAGTTCCAAGCCCTTATCACTTTGACAAAATTTTTCCTGAGAATGCTCTGAGCTTTTGAGACCTAAATAGGCAATTCCACTCTGAGTTTCCTGGTTGCATGTTTGGCAGAGAGGGGGTTCCCAGTGGGGAAACATCTGGGATTTTCAGACGTGGAGGAATCTTAGAGCTGAACGTTACAAATCAGCAGTTAGAGCGCAGAGGTAGATGGCACGTCCAGGCCATGGGAGGGGAGCAGGGTAGCTCCCAAACACAGAGCTGGTATGCGTGGATGAAATCTCTCCACTCACATGCTAACTGGAAGCACAGGCCCAGCTCCCAGCAGTGTGCACACTGAATCAATTGGAACTGAGTCACGGATATAATTAATTTAATGTGTTTAAACGATTTTCCGTATAGTAAACATGTGGAATGAAAGTGACCCAGAAGCAAGTGTCTGCCTGAGAGTGGAAAAATGGGTACCAAGTGTCCTGTATAATGAAAACCCTTGAGCAAATGGAACATGCTTCAATTTATTTCCTTCTCCTTGTTCCTTTCCTTTCCAACTGTTTATTGATAGCTGAACTTGGCCTTCTGTGGTCTCCTTGGACCACAGAGGCATTTTATTTTGTCAGAAAAGATCCTTTTTTGTGTGTGATCAGAAGACAATTTTAATGACACCTGTCTGCAACCCAGTGTCAAGCACATATTAATATGCGACGAAAGGGATAAGGATGAAGACAAAACCAAGTGCAGAAAGGTTCACTTCAAAACATTTCTCAATGAAAGGCAGACTCACATAAAAAGAAGGGGGGTGGCATGGAGATGGGAGGAAGTGTGGCCAGTGTGGCTCCACCAGCTCTGCCCCACCACCTTGCCTGATTACTTCCAGTCACTTCCCTTCTCTGGCCCTCAGATAGTCACCTGCAACATGAGGGCATTGAATCTGAGGATCTTTAAGCCGATTTTTTGGTCTGATGTTCGCTGAATTATGAGTCACCAACTGGAGCAGGTGTCAAGGAATTTCCCATTAAAAAGAAATTCATCTTCAAGCCCTGGAAAGCATTTTAGGCAGTCTTATCTAATTGCTCATCAAGTAGGGATTATTTGGTTTAGATGAAAGGGCGTGCTCACAAGTGGTTATAAATGATCCCCCAGGAAGCTGTACCAGGCACCGAGGTAAAATGCTGACTCCTAGGATTGGAGAAATGGCAAAATGCTTCCTAGATTCTGTAGGTCTCTGTTGATCCATTTCAACTTTAGATACAGTGAACTCATTCTACCAAATCAGAGGCAAAGCACGAACTCAGCCCACTCCACACTGCTCCTCTCCAAGACTTGGCCTGTGAACATGCAGTGTGGGGAGGGACCGGGAGGGATTGCAACTGGGCTTCTATCTAGCCCTTCTGGGGGCAGCTGGGCAGCAGGGAGGAGAGGCTGCGGGAAAGGGGCTAAGCAGCCAGGGCTCTGGGGTAACAGAGAAGTTCCTCTTTAACCTGTTTTATATACTGACCTTCCTGTGGGATTTTATAACAAGGGGTTCTGAGGATAAAAACATTTTTTAAACCATAGTCTGATGAAAGCTGTTAAAAGTTTCCAGTCTGAATCTAGGCTGTGCTATAAAAAATGCACTTGCCCAGTGATTCCACAGAGCCTTGCTTCTAAAATGTGGGAGTGGATGCCCATTGCATTCAGACCCCTCTGCCCAAGGATTTTGGAAACTGACTTCATTTTTAGCAAACTTCAGACCCTCCCTGCCAGCTAGAACCACATCTCTCAAATTCTAGCAAGCCTTAGAATCATCTGGAGGGTTCGTTAAGGACTCAGATGGTTGGATCCCACCCAGAGACTGTGGCGAGGGGTTTGGGGCCTGAGAACCTGCATTTCTACAAACTCCCAGGTGATGCAACCACACTATAAGATCAAGGCCAGGCTCCTCAGCCTGTCCTTCCAGAACTGGGCCCCAGTTTTATCCCTCACCTCCCTGATGCTCTTCTGGCCGAGGTAACTGTCCCCTCTCCTACTCCACAACTTTCCATTTGCCCACCATGCTCCATCTGCCCCTGCTGCCAGCATCTTCCCTGGAGGTCTAGCTCTTACCCACCATTCAAAGCACAGCTCACATGCCCTCCCTTCCAAAAGGCCTTCTCCTACTCCACCAGAGGTCACAGAAATCCCTCCGGGCCCAGGGAGTTTCTGCCCCAGTGCTGGGCACTTTTAACCTTTCCCTGTCAGTTTCACCCAGCTCTTGCCCAGGCTCCAAGAGAGGGGGCCCATCTTACCTAGTCATCCACTGTGCACATCCTCAGCTCCTGCATGGGCCCTGCCTGTCACACCAATAGCAAGCCTGAGCCCACCCTCACTCATTCCAGCATTTAAGAAACTCACCACTCAGCTCCTCACATCTACTCTCTCAATCCTCCAAGACAGACTCTGAATGGCTCTGAGTTAGCACACGGGACAGTACTTTAGCCCATTCGGCCATTCAGATATATTTCCTATATGTGCCAGGAGGAGAGTAGAGTCAGGGACAAATGCATCATCATGAGACTTAAATAAAAGCACCCTCATCATTGCCAGAGGTAGTGTAAAGTGTAACACAGCAATTAAGACCTAGACCCAGTTCCAATCCCAGCTCTGCCTCTGGTTAGCTGTAATACTTAAGTACTCCAAGCTCCAGGTTTCGTGTCTTTAACTGGGACAGTAAGAGCACCTGCTTCTGATGGGCAGCATAACGATGCAGTAACGGTAGCTGGCGATTCCTGGATGCCTAGCACGGGGCCTACACCACTGAACCTAATCTGCACAAAGTACATAGCACATCGTAAGAATTCAAGAAACATGAGCCACGCAACATATTTTTAAGTCAGGGAAGCAAATTTTAAAAGAGAATGTATGACGTGAGTCTATTTTTGTTTAAAATCTAGATTCACATAGGCATAAGAAGATTGTGTGAAGGACACAGACATTGTCACCTATGGGGACTTGTACATTCTGCAAAGGAAAAGGATCAAATTTTAATCCTGAATCTGCTACTGATTAAGGCATGAGACCTTATGTAAATTAATTTCAGTTTTCACATTTGTAACATGGGGCTAAAAACTGAACATTTTAAATTAAGTTCTCTTGAAAATAAAATGGAAAACACACACACACAAATCAGCCATTATCAATGCTAACATTCCTAACTTCCTTCCAAGACATAATTACCCCATTTCCTTGACGAGAAAGGTGAGTCTCAGAGTAGCTTGTGCAATCAGTATTTGCAAGGTGAACCATGCCATGGCTAATCTTTATAGCTACTCTGCAAGGCAAGTATTATCCCTATGTTGTGAAAATTTTGTAGTTCAAAGAAGGTAACTTGTAAGTGAAAAGCCAGGATTTGAACCTGCTTTCGTCCCGACTCCTACCGGTTCACCCGATCCACCATGTGGTGACGTGCACCTGCATTTCTTCTTACCCATGAGGTAGGGAGAGACATTTCTGCAGTGTGTTAGACAGCATGCCTTGCACCACCTCACCCCTCCTATCAACAACCCTGCAAACCCAGACCCCCCCACCCCCCAGAAGTTATTTCAATGACCCCAGGAGATAGATGACGCAACAGGTGTGTAGCAGCCCCTCCCCTTGCCTTGCATGGCTCCAAAGGGCACTGCAGAAAACAGAACTCGGAGGCATGGAACTGACCGTGACCCCGAAGAAGTTAGTCTCGTTCATGGCGTTAAGGATGATCCTGCCCAGCGTGTGGTCCGTGTAGTTGAAGTCCTGGATCCGCTGGTGCCGGCTGCTGGCGTGCAGCGTCTCCATGGCCCTCTGCAGCGTCTTAGCGATGACCCAGATGCCATCATAGGCGTAACCGTGGAACTTGCTGGGCCCCACGCCCGACCGCTTGCTGTTGTATTCTCTCTCATACTGCTGTGGAGTCTGGAAGAGCAAGGGGGCCAGGGGACACCAAGTTTCAGCAGGGACATCAGGCAACTGACGCTTTTCTGTGCTAGGCTCTGTGTCCATTCTCTCACTTAATCCTGCAACAACTCTGAAGTGGGTGCTTTATTATCCCCACTTTCACAGATGAGGTGACTGATTTAGAGAGGTCAGCTTGCTGAGGTCACAGAGCTAGTGAGCGGTGGGGCTGGGACTGAACCCTGTCTGCTGGGCAAGAGTAAGTACAGGGACTAAGTATCCTAAACAGGTCATTCCCTGGAGCTAGAGCACCCCCGGAGGCCCACACATTGTATGTCTAGCTAGTTAAGTCAACAAATATTCTGGATGTTTTCTCTCTCCCATCATAACAAATATACCATCCAAATGATCTGAAATGCCAAGTTTGAATTCAGAATTGTGGGGCTCCTCAGAGCTTCTGCCAGACAGTGCCCAAAGGGAGCTGACCATGGGGTGTAGCCAGGCCCCTCTGCCCACTTCCCTTCCTCTCCCATAGGCTCCAGCCCTCAGCTTCCAGCTTCAGGGGCCCCTGGACCACCCGAGAGACAGGGCCACCCTCAAGAACTGGGGCCAACCCAGGCAAGTGGTCTACCCAGTGCACGGGCAGGAAATTCAGGGCATGGTTTAGAAGATTCCAAGTGGGCTGTCCCTGTGGCCTTGTAGACTCTGAGCCCCTGGGATGGAGGGAGGCCCCGTTGGATCATGAGCTCTGGGGCAGGCAGTTGCAAAAGTGCAAAACAGATTCACGACTCCTCCTTTTCCCTCCCAGTTATAAGGAGTCTGCGAATAGCCGGACATTAAAAAACTAAATTTTCTCTCCCATTGAGCTGAATTTCATGAAAGAATTTTCATTGGTTACATTAGCATTTTGATGGTGGTCACAAAGTACTGAAACTGCCTTTTTGCTTCAGTCCTGGGGCTCAACTTTCTAAGGTATGCCACCTGGAAACCGTTACCCTCTGGCCTTCTGTGGGCCTTTCTTGAATCACTTCTGACCTTGGTCAGCAATGTCATCAGAGCCCACGGCTTTGTCTTTGGAGAAGCCCTCCTTGGGGACAAATCACACAGAGAAACCGTCAGCTCACTGTCAGTTTGTACTGGGAAGGGCTCTTAGAGATGTAACCTAGGCCCCCTCCACATACACCTGAGTACAGAGAGGTCCAGGCCCTTGTGCAAGGCCACACAGCTGAACAGCGCATGTATAGCCAGATAGGCCTCCCATCCTACATCTGATTCTTCCACTTTGATTTTGAAGTCATCCTTACTCTTTGAAAGCCAGCACCAGTTGTTTGGGGTGAAATCTAATAGTCAAGGAAGGTGGGGAGGTGACTCCATCAAAGGCAGGGGCCTTCGGTGGCTTGAGCCCACTGTGCCAAGAATCAGAGTCCCTTGTGGGGACACCCACAAAGGCGCCTGGAAGCCTTTGCAGTGCAAAGTCCACCTGTCCAGACATGAATGTGTCCCAGTACCGAGCCCACCTTCTTCCTGGTGGTCTCAGATCACATTGGGAGCTCAGGTGTTCTCTCTGCTTATGTTTCCTTTGGAAATGCAGTAGACCTATCATCACTGCTCCCCTTACTCAAACACAAAACTCAGGGCAGCCACTGTCTTCAGTTCCTCCAAGACACCAGCCTCCTCTGCTGCCATCTGCACCACCCAGTTAGTCACAACCCTCTACCCACCTCCCAGCCCTGGCTTTTCCAGTGCCTGTCCAGGCAGGCTATGTAAGCACTGCGGTCACCCTTGACCTTTTCTGCTCCTCCTGGGGTTAGCAGTGGTGTAACACTAGGAGCAATTTCCTCCTTAAACCTTTCAACCTTCCATTCTATCAAGTTCGCTTATACCTCAGGGCTTCTGCACTGGCCGTTTCCTCCGCTAAACAGCTCCTTCCCCAGCTTTGATACCTGCTGGTTGTCTGTCAGTCCACCCCTCCTGCCTTGCACCACACTAGCATTAGGCTCTGTGAGGTCAGGTTATGATGCCTTGATCACTGAGTTATCCCTAGGACCAAACAATACCTGGGTAGCCTCTTTGTAGACTCTAGGGACATGTCTATTCATACACTGCAGGTCCAAATAATTCTCCTTAAATATAAATAAAAGGGAAATATCCTATTGTGAGTGGGCATACCCACTTCTCTGTGTCCTTGACAATAGGAATTTTTAATTTTAAAAACCATTGTCAGGGACCAGGAGAGGACATACGTGTATGTAAGCCCAGCTACGTGGGAGGCTGGTCTCAGGCAAAAACTCAAGACCCTATCTAAAAAAAAAACCTACAGCAAAAAAGGGCTGGAGGTGTGGCTCAAGTGGCAGATGCTTGCCTCACAGTGCAAGGCCTTCAGTTCAAAACCAAAACTGGAACCAAAAAAAATCACTGCCACTTTGTTAAGAAAAAAAAAATAGCCTCTTTTAATTTTAATTTGCATTTATCTAATTAATAGTGAGATCCTTTGAAATATTGATCAATTAATAGCCATTTACTTCTTAGGTTAATTTCTTCTTTATACCTCGTTGCTATGGTGATAGTTATATCTTTTAATGGTTTGTTTTAATGTATCTTGTTATTTTTCCATCCTTTATTACTTGGCTATATTTTCTTTGATTATTAAATGTGATTTGGGTCTATTTATGGTTGTTAATTTAGCTATTGGCTATTTTTAAGCATTTAAAACTTCCTTAGAAGTGTATTTCTGTAATTAACTGCTTTAAGCATCATAAAGGGAACGAAGCCCCTTTGATTTCTTCTGTCCTGTTGGATTTTGTTCCTATGAATGTTCTCCTTTGGTGGAGGTGTGTGCTAGTCAGTTTTCTGTTACTGTAACAAAATACCTGCGATAATCAACTTATAAACAGACAGGTTTTTTTGGCTCAGTTTTGTAGGTTACAGTTCATGACTGGTTGGCTCCACTGTTTTGGTCTATGGTGAGACATCACGCTGGGGGAACACTGGGGAACCAAAACTTCTCACATCACCAGCCAAGGAACAGAGAAAAATGAAATCTTGGATTTCATTTGCTCACCCGAATATTTATACTCAGTGACATTCCTTGTATGTTTTGTTTTTGAGACAGAGTCTTTCTATGTAGCCCAGGCTGGTCTCAAACTTGTGATCCTCCTGCTGGAATTACAGGGCTATGCCACCATACCTGGGTTTCAGATGACATTTTTAGATAGCCTTCCAACAAGAACATGGTCCTGAGTCATCCTTCAAGACTTTTACTGAAAGTAGTGGGTTCAGACTTGAGGTGAAAATTCCAAGTATGATTTCACCAGGAGGTAACTGAGTGTAATTTTAAAAAACTTCCTTGATATAGGGGTGTGTGTGTATTTGGGGACAATAAGGTGACCAAGATGATATTGTTTATTCGATTTGGCCTTGGGGCCAATGTAAGCCCCTATGGATACTTTTCACGAGTGCCATGGGTAAGCATATCTTTCTATCTTTCACAGCTATTCTTCCCAGGAATAAGGAGCAAGAGCAAGGCCAAGTCTCTGGGAGTATGGTTTTTGACTGTACTTCTGTGAGCAGAGTCCTTGGAATGGGACACAGGTATAGCTAAGCTGAAAGGTGACCTCATTTTTGCTGTCCTTGCTACCACGCTACATCCCAGGCCATTCATCACTGTTTCCAGGTGATGCCAGCACCCGTCTCCCTTGGGCCAAATGATGACAGCAGGAGAAAATGCTCTCCCAACTGTTGGGGAAAAAGGAATAGCTGTTCCTAAAGCAGCCCCCAATTATTCAGGGTAGGAGGATGCCTTCCATTGTAAAGCTGACACTGAATGCTGATTAATAGCTTATCCTCTGAGGTCAAGTTTATTGTGGGTTACTAGAAATTTTTGAGAAAATAACTTTAGATAGATGGTTCCTCTTACTGACAGGTTGTGCTCTGGCATATTTTTGAAAGGTAGCTGTTGGAACTTGGAACATATTTTCCCATAGAAACTCTGTTATAAATAGTTGTTTAGGAGCCCAGGCTAGCCCACACAGCTCGCTAGCCCACAGTGTGACTAAGTGTTACAGGTCTGCCATTCTGACAGAAGGAAGCTGAGTTCTGCTTCCTGGGAGCAGGGAGCCTCAGGGACAGAAGAGAAAAGAGGGTGGCACATCCTTTTTCCCATCTTCAGTTGTTCCCCATGGAGCTGAAACTGTTAGGGTTCCTTTCCAGCACCTCTGTGCAATGTTTGAACCAAGAGCCTCATCAGGAAAGTATACAAGGGCATATTTCATTTGCTGGTTCCTACACTCTGGTGAGTTGATCACTTGGGTAGCTTGTTAAAATGCAGATTCCAGGGATGTGTTTTGTGAGTTAACTTAGGCATCTGTATTTTTAAAAATCTTCTCACTGGATGCAATGGCTCAGGTCTATAATCCCAGATGCTCAGGAGGCAGAGACAGGAAGATCGTGGTCTGAATCCAGCAATGGGCAAAAGTGTGAGACTATCTGAAAAACAAAAACCCAGTACTGCCAAAAAAATCTTCTCATATTTGAAGCATATACAAATTGATAGGCACTGACTAAGTCCCTCCTAAAATATGAGTATTGGATGCTCTTAGAAGAAACTTCTAGGTGCTTGTTGAATCCCTTCCTGGCCTCATCTGGTGTTGGGAAGCTTTCTGAACACTCCATCTCCAGAATGCTTGATGCCACAGAGAGAGTTCTCCCAGGTGTGGATGTCTTCTCCCTGTAACTCACATTCAGCCTGCTCTGGCTTCCCGTGGGGCACCATACCTGCTCCCTCTGTTGCACAGCAGCTGAGCACAGGGACACACTCATTTTCCAAGTGACAGTATCTTTCTGTCAAGCTAGATAATCCACCATGACTATGATGAAACAGCTCCCATCAACAGCACTTGGAAAAGCAGAATCAAATATAAAAATAGCTTTTCAAAGACATCAAGCAACCAGGACAGTCAGAACTGAAGAGAAATGTTCCGATACGGGCCCAACATTCTTGCTGATGCTATTGCTGGTTTGTG